TGGAGAATTCCTTACTTAGAAATATTAGGACAGTCTGCTGACTTTATACTTATTTACACACACTAACCCAACAATATTCAAACACTTCCGTAGTCGACACGACGACCACTGATGACAATTAAAGTGTATAACCACCTAAAATGCAGCTGAAAGTAGTCTTCCACTGTATCCACCTCTCAGGACCGTCCATGCTACCACGTAAATGCCTAACACCCTGAAGAGGTCCCCCTGCCTCCTAATGCAAACTGCTGCAAATGAAGAGAATACGCCTGAGCTATACTGAACTACAACTGCCCACCTAAAATTACTTCACCTCTAAACAATGTGTGTTCTTCTTATATTAATATGTTTCCGATAGACTTTACTCCAGTGCAAACTACTTTAAAAGAACCCCACTGCTAATACCTTTTCTGTAACCAATGAAAAACATTTAAAAAAATAGGGAACAGGTGAAGAGTCAAATCCATTATAGTAACTTCACCTTTCCTCACAAATGACAAGCGTTTTACATTACTAGCTGCATGTATCCAATACTCAGAAAGACAATCATTATTGACAGACCACAACACTTTTGAATCACCCAGCAAAGAATGCATGTGGCAGTACGTGGCCTTTAGGAGACAATTAAGGATACCAATTTGCTCAGAGAATCCTTACCAACTTAAGGTCATGCAGCTGAACCTCACCATTACTGACAGTTCTGACAGCAACGACATTAATTTCAAAGCCGCCAGACCGAAAGCAACTGTAAAACAGAACTGAATATTTACTGAAAGCATTACTGACCCCTCTCAGAAGATGACACAAATGTCTCAAGTCACCACCCTTACAACAATCCTAACACCTTTTCTTAAAGAATTCAGGTCACCAAAGAATTCTCCAAAACTGACTTGACTTAAAGTTTATCTAACAAAAAAGGAGAAAGGAAAGAAAAGGAAAGTAAAGAGTAAGGGTTCTATGGAATAGAAATAAATCTTCAGAACTAATGGTTTCTACAGGAAAAAAAAATACGATATCAAATAAATCTTTTATACCACCATTAATAACATATCCTCTGGAAGCTACATCCTTGTATCACCACCAAGAAAGTGACAAACTATCACATGCACGCACACTTCTAAATTTCTCTTTAAAAACTCCATTTCACGTACAATATTAACATAAAAACATTTCCTACACGTCTGTCCTACTGAAAAGGCTGAGGTCAAATTTTTAAAATAAAAGGTTCACTGAGAGTGAATTAATGGTGAAACTTTGTGCACTGATTTTCCCATAATAAATACTCCTCCATTAAAAGTCACTGAAGGAATTACTTCAGTGACTTAAAAATCATTAAAATACTGAGCTATCACCAAATGAACAAATAGCAAGAGGGGCAAATCTCAAAATGAGAACACGTGAAAATAAGAATTGAAGACTTCACTTCTAAAAAGTACAGAAGTCTGTAACATTAAGAGGTTTGTGGATTTTATGTGGTTATTAGGAAAAAGCAGATACACCGTTCCACACAAAAGCGAAAATATTGACAGATACGTTTCTGACGTTGTTAAAATAAAATTCTAAAAGGTAAGGAATACCAATGCATCTTTTCTACACTTCCTAAAATATATTTGAAAGTAAGGAGGTTATATACAACTCACCACATTTTTGTTCACCATGATGTTTATTCATCTAATATTCATTTAGTATATTATAAGCAATGTAAATCTGCACTGAGGACTGTACTACTGTGCAAACTTTTACAATGGACAGCGATAAAATTCCTTTTTCCTTATGTTAAATCATAAACTTCAAGTTACTCTTCCTTCTTTCAGATCCCCTTTATTCTTGAATACCTTTCATGAAAATGAAGTCTGTACATTGTCATACAGCACTTAGGTGGCCCCAATTAGGTGGTCATGTTGTTCAGAAAATACAACTTAGCAGATATAAAACAGTGTAAAGTAAAAATCGTGAATAGAATCTTTCAAAAAAAAAAAAACTAAACACACACACACGCACAAAACCTGACAATACAATACGGTCATTTCAGTAAGCACTAATCCTAGAATACAGCTAACTTCAATAGTCACTGTACCCTCTGCAAGTTAAAAAAAAATATTCCCTATGGTTAATATTTGAAAAGACCCAAACTCATCGAACAATAAAAATACATGCAACCAAAGCCTAAAGTTTCCATGAAATCGAAAGACACTAAATTTTTTAGTCTCATGGTGTGCACTACTTTCCAGACTAACTGTAAGATACCAACAAATTATTTTTAGAATAACTCAATTTTGCAAATAATATTTTAAAACCGAACAATGGTTCTCGTTGCTCCTCTGAGAAATCATCTTACAGATAGAAATACTCCAATCGCTACTTTCATAAAGGAATTTACCTTCTCACAGGCTAGCTGCTGAAACAGACACCACAACCTGCCAGAGAGAGTCTTCAATGGCCATTTTAATTCCCCGCCCACCCCCCCCCACCCCCCAATAAACACAGAACACTAAAGTGAAACCAAGCAAAGCAAAGTGCTTTGGTGCATCAAAATTTTTGGAAGTGCGACTACCAAAAAAGCGAGCCCTTCACTGATCTTTTTCCTAAGTGATTTTTTTTTCCGTATCAATATTTGGCTCAATAAAACCACAACTCTAGAAATTAAGTGTTATTAGTCATTTGATGCAATATTTGACACTGCTTTCTATGCATCCCATAACGAAAAGCACAGTTTTAGAGAAAGTTCTAAGTCACGTAAGTGTCACGTACAGAGGCAAACATCTGAAGTCAAAGAAGTGGCCAATCATCTCACTACTCACATGTAAGAACCTGGCAGAGTAATTTTAATCTTCAAACCCTGACAACCTGAAAGCAAATGGGTGAAGTAAAAATAGTATAAACGTACTCTAAATCATAAAAGCAATCTACCAAACAGCATTCTAGACATTTTCTTACATGAGGACTTTTCCTAAAAAGTTAAATAAGCATTTAATTAATTTGTTCCTATACATCCAGATGACTGTCAATTCCTGCCAACAGTAGGCTGCTTTTGAAATAAATTACAAATCAGAGAAGGGTTTCCATAACTAATTATCTTCTAGGCAAGCGGGTCAAGTTCAGTCTTCCTAGTTTTCCAATTAATGCAGGCTCCAAAACTTCTAAATGTTCCCTTAAAATATTATTTTTTAACTTAACAGAAAACTTACGTTTTGTGTGCTACAAAGCTCCTTCTTCAGTAACTTTTCTCTTCATCTCAAAACAAACACTCGGGCAAAATTAGCTGTGCACACTTATGTGCACAGCTACATAATCCAAAGGAATAAAACCTCTTCAGATAGAGAACACGTTCTCGTCTTCAAAAGACACATCTTCCCCACGATTTTTAGCAGGACGTACAGACACTCCAGCACCACTCTACCTTTAAGCAAAAGGTTTACTGGTATTTGCCAAGAAATGATTTTTTTTTTAATCAAGAATGCTCTGTTAGCGCTCATGCAATTACATAACCTTCACTAAGTAATGCCCACACTTATAACTCACATCACCAAAATTCTGGTCTTAAGGGAGGCCTTCACCAGATGCTTCAGTCACCTCGGACCAGTAACTGAATAGTTTTTCGTGCCTCTCACCTACCAGGAACTCGCAATGTCTGCGATCCTTTCCATTCTGAAAAAAAAAAAAGAAAAGAAAAGAAAAAAAAAAAAGGAGGCTTCCATCCCCACCCTTGATCAAAACCAGCTTATTACACCTGAAACTGCCAAGATTAATGCCTTTCGATAACCACTATCTTTTGAGGTACAAAGGCCTAGACAACCAAAACGATACTCTGTTAAAATTCTCGGGTTTCTGTCTTGAATACTCAACAACCTGAGTCAGTAAATTTAATACAGTGTGTGAGAAACCGCTAACAGACCTACACAGTCTGAAGCCGGAGTGATCCACCCTTGCCAGCATTTCTGGTGATTAGCTGGTAAGTTACACTTGACAGGTTACACAAGTCAGAGTCACATTCACGGATACCCAGACGTGTCAGAGGACCCGACCCTGAAATTCTGGCCTCACAGGAACCCTTCAATTCCAAGTAAGAGCTGAACTTGAACCCCTGCAACAGCCTAGACGCTGCACATCATCATCCGGGATCAAAAAGCACTCCCTCTCCATTCCATTTCGTGCGACAAGACCGCTGGATATAAAGTGCTACTGAACTGCAAATTTCGTGCCCCATCCTACACGACCCCACCAGCGGAGGCAAAAAAAGGCAAATTTAACAAAGATCCAGCAAGAACGCCTTAAGGAGGCAGATTACGAATGCCACGACTGATGGGAAGCTACAAAACTTCGAAATGCCGTTTCAAAGTTGTAATTGACTGAGTTTAAATATGCAAGCCCACTTTGGCCCTCAAATGAACACCATATATGCCGAAAAGGATTCTGCTTCCAAAGTTATGCAAATCAGTTCACAACTCACATCAAAAAAAAAAAAAAAA